TGGAAGAAAATCACTAGGCCTATCTTCTGAGGAAATTTTGGGTGGTTTAGAAACACCAATCTTGAGGCTAGTAGTTAAAGGTTTCAAGTGGAGGATGGAAAACGCAAACAAGAAAACTGGAATTAAAAACACTAAGTTCTCAGGTACACCTCGGACCTTTTGCGGTCTTATTGTGGGTACAAATATCAGAAGTATTTCAGGGCTCACATATTTTTTAAAGTATGGTATTGGCAAATAATTTTTATTACTACAGTTCAACAGCAAATCTATCTTGGGATGAAGGGCAACCAGAATGTTCCTTAGAGTGAGGAAACAGAGACTCTATCTTGTGTTTTGGACACGTTAACAGGAGGGAGAGAACATTGCTGGAGAAGGACATTATGACTGGCAGAAAGTCCGTGATGAAGATGGCCTCTAACAAGATGACTCAATGCTGGGCTCAAACACAGCAGTTCTGAGCAGGCTGGGGCAGGGTTCCAATCTATATCCCAGTGGGACCTAACAAAAAAAAAAAAATCCAGTGATTGTTTGGAAGGAAGGTGAATTGACGATGATTTATGTCAGCACCTTGCTTCACTCTGATCATAGAAGCAGAGTGTAAAGTCATAGTGAGATATAGGGGATGCCCTACCAAGTAGCGCATAGATTCATAAGGGCTGGTCCAGAGCTAGGCATGCACATAACACCAACGCTACGGTTCACTTGGCTGTGATCTGCTGGTGAATTTTTAAACCCTGCTGCTGATCCTTGAATGTTTATGGACCTGTGCTTGACGTTGTGTTAATCACACTCTGCTGACGGCAGGGCAGATGTGGGAAGGCGTAGAAGGAACTGAATTTGGACTTGGCCTTTTTCAGTCATGGTTAAACTTAGCAATGGGTTTCATGAGTGAAAAGAAGTTGTAGGAAACTCGGGTAAGTTGAACACCTAATGGTCCCTCAGTAGAGAGTTGTTTGAGGGCGCTTAGGGAGGAGTTGTCTCTCCCTGTCCCTAGGAGAGAGAGTTGAAAGGGAAGGAGGGGGTGGTGGGCATCCCAGGAGAAACAAAGCAAGGTGCCCAGGTTTCCCTTGGCACAAACAAAATGTGTGGTGTGGCGTTGGTGGGGACAGCTCTTGCCCAGCTGACTTTTCAGCCATTTCTGCCAGGGAACGTTGAGTCAGCAGATTTGAGACAAAGACTCCAGGAATCCTGGGGGGTTGGTGAGGGTGAAGGTGGTGGTGGGGTTGCCTGAGAAGACTGGCCACTTTAGAGATTGGTTCATACTGATTTCCTTCTTTCATGGGTTGTTGTTGTGTATCATAGAGTCAGAACCGGCCCATAGCTGATTCTCCAGCAGGTTTTCACAGGCAGTTAATTGCACAGGAGGAGACTGCCCATCCTTCTCCCGTGGAGCAGTTACTGGCCTCAAACCATGTGGCTTTGGGATTGTAGCGCAGTTTCTTGCCACAAGGCCACCAGAGTTCCTTTTACCCTCAAAACGAAGTCCAACAGAGGTCACTGCTAAAGGCTTGTATTTCCAGTATCTCACAGCTAGCTGGCCAACCGTTTTTGTCTTCGTTTTAGCACGCCTCAGAGGCGCTCTGTCCTGCACTGGGTTCTTAGTGGCCATGCCTGTCTTAGTATCCAGTGCTGCTGTCAGAGCTACCACCAGTGGATGGCTTTCACACACAGAGATTTGTTCTCTTACAGTTTAGGTGACTAGAAGTTGAAGTTCAGGATGCCAGCTGTAAGACAGGCCCAGTCTTTCTGAGGTCATTGTAAAAGGCGGGCCTTGTTTCCTTGTGCGTCTGCACGCCAGGGGTTCCCGCGCCATCTCTGTGTTCTGGCCTTAATGTGGGAGAGTTTCCTTGGGCAGGTGGCCAGGTCCAAAAGCACACTTCACTGCTGGCAATAACTTCTGGGTGGTACTGAGACACCCCAGCCCTCAGCTCAGCTTCCTCCCCTTTGTTCTCTACTGAGATGGAAGCACGACAAGCCACACCCTAGGGACGCTCCCCTTAAACCCCAGGATGGCTGTGATGAGATTAGAGCGTGACAGTCCACCTTCAATCCCTCGAGACAGCTAGCTGGTTTATCAGGCCATGAATATTAGTCACAGAGCTTCCATGTAACACCATTACATAAATGTATTTGAGGGACACATTCAATCCATGACAGGCTGGATTTCTGGAAGTGATCACCTGGACCCTATTTTCAAGGTACCTCTGGGTGAACTCAAACCATCAACCTTTCAGTTAGCAGCCAAACTGTAACAGTTGGCACCATGCAGGGACTTTTCTTCTGATTGGGGCCAAGTTTTGCTGCATCCTTTCTGAGCTTTTATTTCTTTGACTTTCATTTTTTAAGAAGTCTTTGACAGGTGGTTGTTGTGTGCTGTCAAATTGGGACTGACTTATAGCTGACACCCCCAGGGAGTTCTCAGAGGCTGTAAATTGCACAGGAGGAGATTACCCATCTTTTCCCCACAGAGCAGCTGGTGGATTCGAACTACATGCCTTTGAGGTTTCAGCACAACTTTTAACCACTGGGCCACCAGAGCTTCCTCTTGGACAGGGAGGGATCTGTAATCTGTCCTTGGTGAGCAGGAACCCTGCTATCAGTGATTGTCACCCATCCCGACACCCAGAAGCTGTTTGGAATCCCAGCCTCCTGCTCCTAAAACCGCTCCTTTTCTAGAAGTTGTAACACTCGCGGGTTGTTTGTGTTAACTGTTGTCACGTTGGTTCTAACTCATGATGAGCCCAGGCAGAACAATCTTGCCTGTTTCTGTGCTGTCTTTGTGACTGATGAAACAGCTGAGTCCATTGTGGCCACTGTATACTTTGAGTACTTTTCCAACCTACAGGCCTCATTTTCCAGCTCCATCTTGGACAATATGTTGCTGTGATCTGTTGGGTCTCCACTGGCTACTTTGTGGAATAGACTGTCTGCTTACTCTTATTCTTGAATACAATCTGTGGGTGACCCTGTTGGTGCTTGAAATGCTGGTGACCGAACCTCCAGTACTGCAATAGATCGCAAGCCTCTGTGGAGACGAGAAATAACAGAGAAGTGATGGTGAACTGCAGGTTAATAGTATTAATCATTAACTAGCAATGCATTGAGAGTTTAGCGTTCAAATGTGCCCAGAACTCATTTGAGAAAAAGAAAAAGCAATCCTTGATAAAAAGGAAATAGCTGCAGTAGAATTCCATTAACGATAGGAAGGATTTTTATTCAGTTAGCATTTTGCTGTCTCCATTGTTCCCCATTTTCAGGTGATATTTTCTTGCAGACCCAGACTCTACCTCCCCTCCTATATATCTCTGTCTGTCTGTCTGTCTGTCTAAATCATCCTCATCATTGTTGTGTTTGAACTTCTGGTTGCAGCTACTGTATCAATTCATCTTCCTTCCCCCCTCCCACCTCTGGTTTACCCTTATAGCCTCTGAAAACCCCTCTGGAGGGTCAGAGGGTGTCAGCTCCAATTTAGCGGCTCATAAAAACTAATAAAACTTTACCAAGCGTGTTGCGTTTCTCCAGGGATTGGGCCCTCCTGATAACACGTCCAAGGTCCTTGAGATAAAGCATTTAATCTTTGCCTCTAAGGGGCATTTTAGCTGCACTTTTTCTGAGTCAGGTGTTCAGAGGCAGTTAATTGCACAGGAAGAGACTGCCCATCTTTCTCCTGTGGAGCAGCTGGTAGACTTGAACCATGTGCCTTTGGGATTGCAGTGCAGCTTCTTGCCACTAGGCCACTACATATATGAAATAAAATGCAAACTCAGTGTACATACAGCACAATGGTAACTGAAAATATTTGTATATTGCTAGGTATGTATCTGAAAGTTGTATGATAAATAAGGACGACAGAGAATAATTGATGCCTAATTTTAATTGTGGTGTTGGAAAATCTACTGAATATTTCATGGACTGCCAAAAGAACAAACAAGTCTGTCTTAGAGGAAGTGATCTGGGTTGCTTCCTGGAGGCAAGGATGGTGAATCTCTGTCTCACATATTGTGGGCACGCTGTTAGGACGGGCCAGTTCTTGGAAAAGGGCATCACACATGGAAAGGTGGAGGGTCAGTGAGAGAGAGAAAGACCATCAGCAACATGGGTTGACAGAGTGACTATAACAATGGGCTCTGCATAGCAGTGACGATGAAGGTGGCACAGAGAGGGCAAGGTCAGATCTTCGGTTCAGAGGGTCACTATGGGTGAGCTCTGGTGGCCTAGTGGCAAGAAGCTGCGCTGCTATCCCAGAGGTGAGTGGTTCAAATCCACCAGATGCTCGCTGGAGTAGGAGGGAAAATCTCCTTCTATACCAGTTAGATCCGATTTGATGGTACACACAAACACACACACACACACACACACACACACACACATTAAATTTAAAAAACCCCAAATAAATAAAAAACAGAGGATTGCTATGAGTGGTTGTCAGCTCGATGGTATCCAAGAACAACTTAGGGATCTATAACTATGAACCTGTACCATCTGTATCTGTATGTGTGTGTGTGTATATGCCTTGCAGTGTAATGTGTTACGTTAGATTTCTAACTGGTAGGTTGGCAGTTCACATCCATCTACTGCTTCAAAGGAGGAAGATGAGTCAGTCTGTTCCCATAATGATTTACAGCCTTTAAATGAGATGGGAAGGGCTCTGTGGTTTTGCATATATTTATACATGCACATGCACAGGTGCACACACACAAGGTGTGTGTATATACACGATACATAAAAGTATGGGAGAGGGATGTGTGTGTGTGGTTGTATATCCTTAACCATGAAAGGCCTGGCATTCTGCTTCTGAGGAAATGTCAGTGGAGACTCGTGGACCAGGAAGCCTTTCATTCCTGTGCTTGGGGTCTCCACATCTAATGAAATAAACTCTAACCTTTAGCCTTTAACCCCACTGCTAAGAGGAAGCCATCTGAATCACAGGGTAATGCGTGCAGTGCCCCCCAGACATGAGGCGAAGCTAAAAGGAAACCTCTTTTCTCTCCTGTCTGTAGGAATTTGAGGCCTATGTGAACGCATCTGGAGAGCATGGGATCGTGGTTTTCTCTTTGGGGTCAATGGTCTCGGAGATCCCAGAGCAGAAGGCAAGGGAAATCGCTGACGCTTTGGGAAAAATCCCTCAGACGGTAAGAAAACTTCTGCCTCCAGACACGTTCTGATCCTAGGGTTCCCCATCTTAATTAGTTCTGTCAGTAGGAACTTTACTTGGGGTTCCTTGCTACTTGCCAACACTGTCCCAAGGTTGTTCTTTTTGCATCTTCACTCTCGGCCACTCTGGTGGACAAAGGTCCACGTCATGAAGAAGTCTCCTCTCCTCTGAGAGCCTGAAATATGCACTAAAGAAGATTTGTTTTATAAAATGAGGATAAATCAAGAACATAGAATAATAAAGAACATATTCTTCATATTAATCAGGAATACTTCTCCAAAAAGCTGTGGACTGAGAGACTGAATTTATTTACTGTGTTTCTGCTTTTACAGTTCTAAACACATACGCTTTGTTGAGTAAACATTTCCTCAAAGTGCATAAAAGTGCAAAAATGACAAACACCTAGATTTTCACAAAGCAAACACCTCCCTCTAACGGAGCCCAGAATAAGACACCGGACAGTGCCAGCACCAGAACCCCTCTGCTCATGGACCCACCTCACTCTGTTGGTCCAGAGGGACCACTTGGACGTATTGTAGGAGATTTTTATTTTAATGAGAAGATTTTTTTCCTTTTAATTGTGTCATGTTCTTTCTTTAAAATGTCTTTCCAAGGTCCTGTGGCGGTACACCGGAACCAGGCCTTCTAATCTCGCCAAGAACACGATACTTGTGAAGTGGCTGCCCCAGAACGATCTGCTCGGTACGCCAGGCGTAATATGCTGCTTTGGTCAACCAGTAACCAGTTGCTGTTCAATCTCCTTGACTAGTGGTGACCCCATATTGTCTGAGTCATGCTAGGCTCCGCGGCGCTGCCAGTGGCCAGTTGTTCAGATGACCAGGCCTTTCTGCCGAGGCACCCTGGGGGCGATTCAATCTGCCAACTCTTCTGCTGGCAGCCTCACCAGCTAACTCTCTACACCACGCAGGGGCTTCATGGAACTGAGTTTAAATGAAGAAGATGGTTTTGGCCCAGTATCCTAGAGGATTTATTTTTTCTTTTTAGTTTGAAAATATCATAGCCAGCGTAACTCACATTTCTTTTTTTTTAAAAAAATAAAACAACCTAGTATTTTTCTGGTTTTAGTCAATGGCCTTGGTTTCCATTCTTATCCGCAGCTAGAGCTGATTCCCAGAACTCAGACTTCTAACCTCTTAAATGGGAGAAGAGAAACTTTTGTTTATTAAATCCAGGAATCCCAAAACAAACGGGAAAGAAAAGGAAGTGCACTGTTGTGCTACCCACCGCTTGAGAACGCTGGCTGCATCTTCCCAGTGCCTTCACAGTCTCGATTTCTCCCGTCCTGCTGGCTTTCTTGCCATTAATCTGGTTTCCCCACCCACTTACTTTCTCTTTGTTTCAAAGTCATTGTTGACTGTGGGGTCTCAAATTTGGTCTCTTTTTTAAAAAATTATTCTTTTTTATGTATGGACTGTCAAATTGGATCTGACTGGCACAGGTGGAGACTGCCCCTCCTTCTCCAGCAGAGCATCTGGTGGATTCGAACCAAGTACCTCTGGGATTGCAGTGCAGCTTCTTGCCACTAGGTCACCAGAGCTCCCCCAAATTTGGTCTCTTTTTAAAATGCAGTGGTCATGAGTGATTTTCTTTATTTTTCATTTTATGGATTAATCTGTTAGTTGGTTAATTAGTGACAGAAAGGGCAACTTCTGGGTCATGGTTTAGAGAGTATCTCAGGACAACAGCCTGACTAGTCCCTGAGTTCCAGCCAGTTGAGTAAATTCGGTTTCTTTCTTGTTTGTTTAGTGAGGGGAATTCAAAGTTCTGTGCCACATTTTTCTGCCACCACAGTCCATGTATTGTGGCCTGTAGTGGTTGCTGGGCACCATGCCCTTATATAATGGTGCCCCTCTCGGGCCACAATTCTGGTGGAAAGTCCCTGTGGATAAACCCTAAGCACACAGAGGGCTTTCAGAGCCTGGCTGGGGTGGGGTAGGGGGCACTGTGAAACTCAGCAACCTGACCTTGACCTCTTCCCTCTGTCATCTGCTTCCCAGGTCACCCGAAGACCCGTGCCTTCATCACGCACTCTGGCTCTCATGGTATCTATGAAGGCATTTGCAATGGCGTGCCCATGGTCATGATGCCCTTGTTTGGAGACCAGATGGACAATGCCAAGCGCATGGAGACCCGGGGAGCGGGAATCACGCTGAATGTCCTCGAAATGACGTCTGACGACTTAGCAAATGCACTGAAGGCAGTCATCAATGATAAGAGGTGAGAGGAGCGTGCAGAAGAGGCCTGTGTGTTGCTGCTGTTGTTGTCAGTGGCCGTCACACTGGCTCCAGCTCTTCTTACACTGGAAACTCACGCAGTACTGTGCGCTCAGCTTCAACTTAAGCCTGGGAGGCCGCCTGAGGCATAGAGAGAGTCCACTCTCAGAGAGCGACTGCTCCACCTGGCAACGGGGAAGCAGGAGATAATGGCCAGAGATGAAAATCCTTCTGGGAAAGGACTGTGCTGCCTCCTTTAGGGAACTTGGGTAGTCAGCTTCAAGGTCAGAGGGACCCTTGTCAGACAAGGCAGCTTCTAAAATATGGCTTGGATACCAGACTCACACCAGTACTTGAAAATGGAATTACAGCTCCACTTTCAGGCTGTTCTATGAACAGTCATCAAGTGCTTCCTATTTTATCTTCTCATAGACAAAAATACAGTTAGAAAGAAAATGATCACTAAGAACAGAAGAAAAAACACAGGAAGCAAGGTTTAAATAATAAAAATGTGCATTTCAGCTTCCTGGTTTCTTGTTAGAGCTAAAGAGCTTTTGTTAACTCGTCTCTGCCCCCCTCCCTCCACTGGCCCTCTCCTCTCCAGGTGACAATAGGAACACGTCCCTCTGCCCAGTTTGGCAATCCTGGTGGTTTTCCTACCAATAGGTGAACGTGCCGTGCAGAGCAGGTTGTCCCTGCTCCCTCAGAACCCCTGATGCTAACACGCTAACACCCCCCTCTCTGTGTTCAGCTACAAGGAGAACATAATGCGACTGTCCAGCCTTCACAAGGACCGACCCATGGAGCCGCTGGACCTGGCCGTCTTCTGGGTGGAGTTTGTTATGAGGCACAAGGGTGCCCCACACCTGCGCCCCGCGGCCCACGACCTCACCTGGTACCAGTACCACTCCCTGGACGTCATCGGCTTCCTGCTGGCCATAGTGCTGGTGTCGACCTTCATCACCTTTAAATGTTGCGCCTTTGGTTGCCGGAAATGCTTTGGGAAAAAGGGGCGAGTTAAGAAAACTCACAAATCCAAGACACATTGAGAAGCAGGGGGGAATTCAGGTGACAATTCAATCCATTGCCTTGTTGGTTCCAAATGTTCAAGAGAAGTCAGTGTTGAACCCATTTCAATCTTATTAAAGAAGTATGTTAGCATAAACAGACTGAAGACACCAGTGTGTTTTAATGAAAACAATTTCCTCTAATATATAGATTACAGCCCAGCCCTGGTCTTTAATCAGGACCTCACTGAAAATCTTATAAACCACATTCGGAGAGTTGGGCAGGTCCCTCCCTCATTTATATCACCATTATCTTGCTAAACAGTGAGGCTCAGTTTTGGGAGAACCCTTTTCTGAGGTGGTCCCTAGGCCACCACTTCCAGTGACAGTTTGACATCATTGCCTGGCTTCTACCAACTGTTGTGATAGGACCCTCCACTGGTATTCGAACCAAGCCAAATGCATTTCCCCAAGTCCACTCCAACTCTTAGTGGCCTTGTAGGACAACGCCCAACTGCCCCATAGTGTTTCTAAGCTTCAAATCATTATGGAAGCAGGCTGCCTCATCTTGGTCCCAGGGAGCAGCTGGTGGGTTTGAACTGCTGACCTTTTAGTTGGCAGCTGAGCACTTGCCCACTGCACCATCTGGGTTCCTTTCACCAGTCAGGGCCAACCCTAATTCATACTCCTGCTAGCGTGTGTCACATGAATGTGGAAATGTTCACTCTTTGAAAGTGTTCACTCTTTGAAAATGTGCAGTCTATGTGAAATGAATCAATGACACACAATTCTCTGAGAACAGTGTGTGATTTCTGACTTTGGGGAAAAAAGAAACAGTGTGAGAAAATTGATGGATGGTGTATTTGAGGGGATAATTATAGCTCTATTGAACAGATCTGAACTTGCCTGTCTACCAAATACATTTTCTGTGGTGTTTCAAACAATAGAAAACTTTATTAATAAAAATAATTTATAAATTATGTTTCTAAGGTATTCTCTTCATTGATACTGTATAAATTTCTTATTAAATTACATTTTCTTTTTTATTCAGAAATGTGTTGTTTATTGTTCAAATATATGAAGATTGCTCATATTTCTTTCTGCTGTTGATTTCTATAAAAAAACAAGGGTCAGCCATGTGGGGATGGCTATGTCTGGAAATGGTCATGTCTGACCTTTATCATCTTCACACACGGAAACTAGCCCCATCAACAGTATCAATAACACAAAACCAATTACCAAGAGGTCAGATATGTTCTCCATGCTCCCATACTCCTTTCTACTCATCTCAACACAAATCTTAACTGCTTCACTGAGTCCAAAATCTGATGTGGTGTAAATTACATTTTCTAACTGCAAAATAATTATTTGGACATGAAAAAATTTCTTTTATTTTATTGGGTTTTTGGAAGCAGGATTGGCATACACTTCCTAAACAGCATGCCTCTGGAAACACTATGAACTTTGGTGAATGTCAACAGCTGTCGAGGCGCTTCAAGGCTGTTGTTCATAGGGTTGCTTTGAGTCATGCTCAACCTGAAGGCAATCAACAACAACATCAACACTGGATTTTTGGTGAAAGTTTGCACAGCAAATGACGTTCTGATTTTACAACTTTCTCCACATATGGTTCATATTGCACAAACATTGTCTGCTGACATTATTTCTGCTTTGGCTGTTCCATTCTCAGTACTCTAGTTGCTCCACCTGCTTGCCTTTTCATGTTCTTGTTACAGTAGACATTGACTGGTTGGTGGATTCAAATCACCCTCTCCAGGTTGGGAGCACAACTCCCTACCCACTAAGTCACAAGAACTTCCCATTCGGTCTCACAGAGAAGAATTTTTAAAGGTGCTGAGTACTCATAGGTGGTAATTTTGATTTAAATTTTTATGGGTGTGTCATTTATGTAAAAGACCCCACGGAATAGTCTTGGCCCACAATTTTAACAGTATCTCAGGTTGACTGTCTAGACTTTTTAAGAGTTGAGTGCTATTCTACATTTCCTCCCATTCTCTCAGTTTTCCCTCTTTTCTGGCAGCCTCGTGAGTAGGGAATGGCTTAGTAGTAAGGAGTTGCATTGCTAAGCCAAAGGTATAAAGTTCAAATCCACCAGCTTCAGGAGAAGGATGGGCAATAAAGTCTCGTGTGATTTATGGCCTATGAGAACTCACTGAAAGGTCAACCTATAGTTGGTTCGTTCTGACTTAAAAAAAGGCAGTTCAAATCCACCCGCTACTCTAAGGGAGACAGAAGATGCAGAAGAAGCAAAATGCAACTTAGACAACATGAGGGTGTCCAAGCCCAGCTTCCACTAATTCCACAAAATGGAACTCTCCCCATCAAAAACATCCAATAGAGAAACCCTACCCCTTGGTAAGACATAGTTCCCACACTGCTGCATCTACTTCCATGAATCACCAGGTCTGGTACTCTTTGCAAAAGTTGTGGGGTTATTAGGGAAACAGGTCGTGGGAAGTGAGGGATGGCAGAGGAGATCACACAGTGAAAGGTCTCCAGGTTTAGTCCAGCGTTCAAACGCAGGAGGCCTCTGTGTTTTCTCAGCCTTCTCGTAAGCCTTGTCTCACAGCAGTCCCTAATCAGCTCTTCCCTCCACCATCTCCAGGCCTCCATCAGGCTTTGCCTGGCTGCCATGTCTCCACAGTGTTGCCAGCTTCCTCTTGTATGTTGATCTCCCAGCTGTTGATGATGTAAAAGACACTGATCATTGGCAAACCATGTGTCTGCTGTTGAGACAGCTTTTGACTACACCCCTAACAGGGGCAAAGGCAATAGATATAAATGCCATTTTCAAAAGTCCTTACTCCATAGATGGGCAATCTTCTCCTGCGAAGCTCTGAAAACCCTCTGGAAGGTCAGCTATGAGTCAATTTCAACTTGACAGTAAATGTGAGTGAGTGGGCAATCCTCTCTCCTGGGAGCTCGGGTGGTGCCCTCTGTAAGGAGTTGCCCTGCTGCCCCAAAAGCAGCGAGTGCCTTCCGAGCAGATCCATATGCTAACGGCTAATTGGGAGAAAGATGGGCAACCTTCTGTGTGATTTATAGCTCTGTGAACACTCACTGGAGGCTCACTGAAATTTACTGAGTTTGGGTTGTTGAAATCCTTTCTCAGTCACGTCTGTTTCTGGAAGTCCCTTGTAAAGATTTATATTTAAGTGCTATATCTCAAGACTCATCTTGAATCAGTTTGTCTATAATGGCAAAAATCTTCATAAGACTATTATTGTAAAAATAGATGCATAACTAATAAACATGTACAGGGACCCAAGGCGGGAAGGATTAGGAGCAAAGGGGTGAGGATGGGTAGTTGTGAAACCACAGAATTGCACAGTTTGGTGGGTGGAGGGACGGGGGTGAAGGAAATGAGAAGGATCCAGTAGGAACCGGAAAAGCCAGGGTAATGATGGGCCCAATGGTGATTAATTTTATAAAACTTAATGCAAGTGAATGGTTATATAAAACAAAATGTGAATGAAGAATAGTGTGAAAAAATAATATATACAAACTTTGTAAGCAAATGAAAATATTTTTTAATGAAAAAAAAAAAGAATAGATTATCTATCCCCAATGCTATATACAGCCCAGGTAAGCACCAAGGTTGAAGAGATTGCCATTTGGAAAAGAAGCTTTTGAAAATCCAACGTGAATTCCAAACTCACAGCAGAATTTTGAAATAGAGTTAAGACTTGGCTCTGAGATTGCGCCACTTACACCAGGTGCCTCTGATTTCGATTCTCATACAGCCAAACAGTCCTGAAAACAACTCTCAATGCTCCTGGGTCACAGCGGCCTTGTTTGCATGTTGTTCTTGTCAGGAGCCATCAGGTTCCATATGACTCTTAGTGACCCTATGAACAAGAGGTCTGAACCCTGTCCTATTCTGCACCGTCCTTATCATCCTTGGCACTCTTGAGCCCATGGCCAAAGTCACTCACTCTATCAATCCATCTCACTGAAGGGAGAGAGAGATAATGAGCTGAAGGGAGGGCCAAAGAAGTTCATGTTTTAACTTGTTCTGCTCTTGCACATACATTCCCACATTGTGTTTTTGTTGCTGCTGTTGTTGTTATGTGCCATCGAGTCACCTGTGACTCATAGCGACTCTATCTGTGTACAGCAGCTCTGAAGCCTGCCCCATCCTGAGTCAGTCTCACTGATTCTGGCACACCAAACCTCATTGGCCTAGTCACTGTATCAATCCACCTCACCCAGGGTCTTCCTTTCCTGTGCTGTCTCTCTACCCTTCTGAGCATAATGTCTTTTTCCAAGGACTGGTCCCTTCTGGTGACATGCCCAAAGTATGAGAGACAGAGCTTCAAAATCTTAGCCTCCAAGGAGAAACTTGGTTTCACCCTCTCTAAGACAGGCCTATTTGCTTTCTTGGCAATCCATGACTCTTCTCCAGCACCACAACTCAAAGGCATCAATTCTTCTTCTATTATCCTTAGTCAGTCATTGTCCAGCTCTCTGATGCATAGTAAGTAATTGTGAAGACCATGGCCAGGGTCAGGTGCATCTTAGTCTCTAGACTAACATCATTGCTTCTCAGTACTCCGGTGAGGTCCGTGACAGCAGATTTTCCCAATGCAATTCATCTTTTGATTTTCTGACTGCTGGTGCCAAGAGTATTGATTGTGGAGCAGAGCAAACTGAAATTGTTAACAAACTCAATCTCTTCACCATCTATCACGGTACTGTCATTTGGCCAAGTGGTGAGAATCTTTGTCTTCTTGATGTTGAGCTTCAATCCATATTGAAGACTATAATCCTTGACCTTCTGCAGCAAGTGCTTTAGGTCTTACTAAAAATCACATGGCCCCAAAGCAACCACTATTGTTATTTTTGGCAAACACAAAAAATTATTCACCAATTGTTCTTCATGTTCCCCCACCTGCTTTCTTGATCTTGCTCTACCATGAATGTCCTCTCAATTTAATTTCTTGTTAATGGTGGAGGAAGACTCATTCTACTACATGGATGAATCTTTCCCCACTTCTGGTTGGTTCACTTTTACTTTCCTA